TTATATCAAGCAACTTCTCAGATCACAATGGTATAAAACTAGAAATAAATTATGCAAAGAACACAAAAAGCCTACAAACACATAGAGGCTAAACAATATGCTTCTAAATAATCAATGGATCAATGAACAAATCAAAACAGAAATCAAGCATTACATGGAGACAAATGAAAACAAAAATAACAACAGTCCAAAATTTGTGGGACACTGCAAAAGCAGTACTCAGCATAAAGTACATAGCAATAAAGGCCTACCTGAAGAAACAAGAACAATCCTAAATAAATAGTCTCAACTCATAACTGAAGAAACTAGAAAAAGAAGGAAGGACATAGTAAAGATCAGAGCAGAAGTAAATAAAATAGAGAAGAATAAAACAATAGAAAAAATCAGAGCTGATTACTTGAGAACATAAACAAAATAGACAAACTCCTAGCCCAGATTTAACAATAAAAAGAGAGTACACAAATAAAATCAGAAATGAAGAAGGAATCATCATAACTGACACCACAGAAATACAAAGAATTAGAGAATTCTATGAAAAGTTATATGCCAATAAATTGGACAAACTAGAAGAAATGGACAAATTCCTAGAAAAATACAACCTTCCAAGAATGACCCACAAAGAAACAGAAAATCTAAACAGACCAATTGCCAGCATTGAAATTGAAATGGTAATCAAAAAACTCCCAACAAACAAAAGTTAGGGACTAGATTGCTTCACAGCTGAATTCTACCAAACATTTAAAGAAGAACTAATACCCGTCCTTCTTAAAGTATTCCAAAAGCTAGAAGAGGAGGGAATGCTTCCATTCTCATTCTATGAGAGCAACATCACTCTAATACCAAAGTCAGACAAAGGCATTACAAAAAAAGAAAATTTTAGATCAATATCCATGATGAACATAAATACAAAAATCCCAACAAAATTTTAGCAAATAGAATTCAAAAATACATCTAAAGGATCATCCATCATGACCAAGTGGGATTTATTCCAGGGATGCAAGGATGGTACAATACCTGTAAATCAACCAAGGTGATATACCACTTTAACAACAACAACAAAAAGATAAAAAACACATGATCACCCAATAGATGCTGAAAAATCATTTCACAAAAATTCATTAACCATTCATGATAAAACTGTCAACAAAATGGGTACAGGGGGTCCAAACCTCAACATAATAAAGGCCATATATGACAAACCTACACCTAACATCAGACTCAGTGGCAAAAAGCTGAAGGCTTTTCCTCTAAGATAAGGAACAAGACAAGGATGCCCACTTTCACCACTTTTATTCAACATAGTATTGGAGAGCCTAGCCACAGCAGTCAGACAAGATAAAGAGATAAAAGGCATCCATATTCATAAGGAAGAAGTAAAACTGTCACTATGTGCAGATGACATGATATTATACATAGAAAACTCTAAAAACTCAACCAAAAAACTATTAGAATAACTGGATTCAGCAAAATTTCAGGTTATGAAATTAATACACAGAATCTGTTGCATTTCTATATACTAAAAAAAAACTAGCAGAAAGAGAAATCAGGAAAACAATTTCATTTACAATTGCATCGAAAAGAATAAACTACCTAGGAATAAACCTAATCAAAGAGGTGAAAGACCTGTACTCTGAAAACTGTAAGACATTCATGAGAGAAATTAAAGAGGACACAAATAAATGGAAATCTATCCTAACATCATGAATAGGAAGAATTAATATTGTCAAAATGGCCATCCTGCCTAAAGATATTTATAGATTCAGTGCAATCCCTATCAAAGTACCAATGACATTTTTCAATGAGCTATCACAAATTATCCTAAAATTCATATGGAACCACAAAAGACCCTGAATAGCCAAAGCAATCCTAAAATGAAGAAGAAAGCTGGGGGTGCCACATTCCCTGACTTCAGGCTATACCACAAAGCTGTAGTAATCAAAACAGTATGGTACTGGCTCAAAAAGAGACCCATAGATCAATGGAAGAGAGCCCAGATATAAACCCGTGCATATATGGTCAATTAAAATACATTAAAGAAGCCATGAATATACAATGGAGAAAAGAAAGACTCTTCAATAACTGATGTTGGAAAAACTGGACAACTACATGCAAGAGAATGAAACTGGATTACTGTCTAACTCCATTCACAAAAGTAAACTTGAAATGTATTAAAGACCTGAATGAAACCATAAAAACACTTAGAAGAAAACATAGGTGAAAATCTCTTGAACAGTTTTTTCCTGGACACATCTCCACAGGCAAAGGAAACAAAAGTAAAAATGAGCAAGTGGGACTATATCAAACTATAAAGCTCAATAGCAGAAGACACCATCAGCAGAACAAAAAAGCAGCTTATAATATAGGATAAATATTCATAAACACTTTATCCAATAAGGGGTTAGCATCCAAAATATATAAAGGATTCATATGCCTCAACACCAAAAAAACAAATAACCCAATTAAAAAATGGGCAGAGGATCTGAACAAATATTTTTCCAAAGAAGAAATATATATGGCCAACAGGCACATGAAAAGATGCTCCACCTCACTAAACATCAGGGAAATGCAAATCAAAATCACAATGAGATATTACCTCATACCAGTTAGAATGACCACCACCCAAAAGACAAGAAATAGCAAGTGTTGGTGAGGGTGTGGGGAAATGGGAACCCTCTTACACTGTTGGTGGAAATGTCAATTGGTATAGCCCCAGTGGAAAGCAGTATGGAGGTTCCTCAAAAAACTAAAAATAGAAATATCATACAACCCAGTAATTCTACATCTAGGAATTTACCCAAAGAAAACAAGATCCCTGATTTGAAAAGATATGTACACCCCTATGTTTATCAACACAGTATTTACAATAGCCAAGTTATGGAAGCAACCTAAGTGTCTATCCATAGATGAATAGATAAAGAAGATGTGGTACATATAGGCAATTGAATATTATTCACCCATTAAAAAAGGAAATTCTGCCATTTGCAACAAGATGGATGGACATAGAGGGTATTATGCTAAGTGAAATAGCCAGGAAGAGAAAGACAAATACCATATGATTTCATTTATTTGTGGAATCTAAAAACAAAACTAAATGAAAAAAATAACAGTAGACTCATAGCCACTGAGAAGTGACTGGTGATTACCATGGGGGAGAGATTGGACTGGGTGGATGGGGGGTGGGGGAGGATGACAGGGAAAAGGGGCACAAAAATTCTCAATCATAATATAAGTTGGGCACAGGGATGGTAGTACAGTATGGAGAATGTAGCCACTAATTCTGTAACATCTTTCTATGTTGACAGATAATAACTGCACTAGTGGAGGTGAGGATTTAATAAAATTGGTAACCACTGAACCACTGTGTTGTGTACTTAAAGCCAATATAAGATTGTATATCAATGATACTTGAATTAAAAATAATAATAAACCCTATACCCATTAGCAGTTGATCCCATTTACCCCCTCCACCCAACCCCTGGAAACTGTAGATCTATATCCTTCCTGTCAATGTGGCAATAGGACCCAACCCCTCCACCATGGTAATCACCAGTCCCTTCTCAGTGTCTGTGAGTCTACTGCTGTTTTGTTCATTTTATTTTGCTTTGTTTTTATATTCCACAAATATGTGAAATCATATGGTATTTGTCTTGCTCTGCCTGGCTTATTTCACTAAGCTTAATACCCTCTAGGTCCATCCATGTTGTTGCAAATGGATGAATTTCATTTCTTTATGGCTGAGTAATATTCCATTGTGCATATGTACTATGTCATCTTTATCATTCTTCTATTGACGGATATTTTGTTCACTTCCATATCTTGACTCTTGTAAATAATGCAGCAATAAACATAGGATGGGGGTGCATATATCTTTTCAAATCAGGGATCTTGTTTTCTTCAGGTAAATTCCTAGAAGTGCAATTGCTGGGTCATGCAGTATTTCTATTTTTAGTTTTTTGAGGAACCTCCATACTGCTTTCCACAGTGGCTGCACTAATTTACATTCCCACCAACAACGGGACACGGAGTTTTTTTTAGGGTAATGAAAATGTTCAGAAATCAGATAGCAGTGATGGTTGCTCAATTCTTTGAATATGCTAAAAACCACTGTGTTATGCATTTTGAATGAATTTGATGGCATGTGGATTATATCTGAAAGCTGTTGGAAAAAAGTTTGAAATCTAATTTTATTATGATCAAGAGTTTTGTAAGACAGTTACTCAGAGCAATTCAAAGTGTATTTCCTATCACCAGGGATACCAGCACCATACTTTAGAAACATGGTTTTAATATATTGCTAAATACAAACAAAAGCAGATGTGTTGGCCTTCATGGTTTTCCCCTCCAGTGCTGCTGCTTCTCAAGAATTAACCATATTTCCTCTAAGACCTGCCAAAACACTCCAGCAGTGTTACTCACCTTTAACCCTTCTTTGGGATCATGTATCAGAGGAACCACCTGGTACATCTAGACCTCAGGCCAGGGAACCATATGGGCATTTCTGCCTTCTGTACCCACAAGAGCTCTTCAATGCCAGATAGAGTAAACGGCCAACAGTGGTGATTTTATTAAATGGCTGTAGTGTTTCAACACTGCATAATTTTTCTCCAAAGAGATATAGGAATGCCCACCAGTTTGTTACTGGTGTTAGCCAAGAGACTTGTGCCTCATTTTAGGCTCTTTCCACCCAATTTTGACTTTTTCTGTACAGTGGAGTGGAGCACAGTGGTTAGGCAGTAGAAGGCTGCTGCTCAGCAGATCTTCAACATCTTGCTGAGAGTATGAACTCTTCACAAACTACATTTCTTAATGTCTTCCCTCTAAGATAAAATAAAAACTGTGTCTCCCTGTAGTCCTACTTTTAATAAATGTTAGACTTGTGTTTAAAAGTGAAGTGATATCAGAAGAAAATCAGGGAAAGCTGGAAGGAGGACTCTGTAAATATAGAAGCACTTGAAAATTTGCTTTTGTCTTTGTGTGTGTGTGTTGTTTTCTGTATAAAGCTCCTGTTGGAACACCAGGATGCAATTGCACCCGAAAAGCATGACTTACTGAATGAACTGCTGGAATTACTGGGAAAGGTACCTAATGTGGAATCTTTTCTTGGTAAGAGCTTGTTCCTTCTACTTATCCTCTGGCTTGTGTTATTTGGTTTTCTATCCTAGATCAAAAACATTTCTTGGAATTTAATACTTAATCTTATTTAAAGATAACTATACTAGCCCCTTCCTGCATCAATCCATAATTTGATACTCTTGAAGGTGAGTGCTAAATACCTTGAAAAGGATTTGTTAACATAAATCATAAGGAAAACATCACTGAAGAGCCAAAACACAGTTCTTGCTGTTTCCTAACGATTTTTTATTTTATTAACAGTTCCTCTCTTACCTATTTTTTCATATTTTGAATATCTTTGTCCCATGTTATCTTAATGTTTAAATCAAAGATTTTAAAAGCCACTTTAAGTATATTAGTATATTAGAATGTGGTTCTTTTTTTTACAAAGACCATGATCTCTTGCTCAACCAAGGCTATCTTTCCCACAGAACCTTTATCTTACATTATTGATGCCATCATCACGAGTGAATTATAAGAATAACAATGTTTTTATCTACAGGGGAAGGTGCAGTTGACCCCAGTGACCCTAACAAGGAAAATACACTAAGTCAACTCTCAAAGACTGAGATTTCCCTTTATTTGACAAGCAAGTACGACTTAGCGGATGGTGAAGCTATAGATGGCCAAAGCCTCATGATAAAGTAAGTTTAGGGCTTAAAGGGCACATGTCTCTGATTATGCTTCTTAAATCTGGCAAATTCAAGTAGGGCTAAATCCCCAAGTAATTCCTTTCAAAATATCCAAATATTGAAATACAGTATGTTTATCCATCAAACACCTAACAAAAACAAAGGATAACAGAATCTTTATCATTTAAGAGGAAACTAAATATTATAATATCTTATAAAGCCTATCTTGTTTTTCGGTTTTCCATGTAGTAATTTGATTCCTTCCCTACAAGAAATGAAGTGATTGGGGGAAGGCAGCACAGCACAGAGAAGACAGTAGTGACTCTAGCATCTCACTGTTCTGATGGACAGTGACTGCAATGGGGTTTGGGGGGGGACTTGATAATATGGGTGAATGTTGAAACCACAATGTTGCTCATGTGAAACCTTCATAACATTGTATATCAATGATACCTTAATAAAAAAACAAAAAAGAAAGAAATGAAGTGATTAATTTAGCCTATGGCAAGTCCTTAGGTAACTGAAGGGAAATATCTGTTACAGAGTCAAAGATTAGTTAGGAAATACTTTGAACCAAATTTGATTTCTGGCATAAAATGTTAATGTAAAACAGATGCACACATGCTAAGACTTAATGCTGTCATCTGATTTATTAACCTACTTTCCTATTAAAGTAAGCCTGGATAAGTCTGCTAGCTTTGACTTGACTTGTACCCTATTTTCTGCCCCCAAAGATATCAAATGAAGTATTCATACTGTATTTTTTCCCATCAAAGCCTCATGGATATGCCCAGCAACCTTTACAAGGAGTTATTTACACACAAAATAAGAAAGAATGAGACCCATCGCCATAAATCAAAACACCATAAACCAAAAACAAGTGTTCACCCAATAATACAGTTTTTAAGAACTTATAAAAACAAAAGGATGTGTACTAGAACAATTATATATTGGGATGAGGTGGAGAATGAAAGTGGGAAATGGGTCAAAAATGGACTAAGTCTGTATTTAAATGCTACTCCACACATTACTTCTAAGCTATGTGTGTGTTCTGAGGTTTTCATTGGTGAAAAGAGCTTTCTGTTCTGCCACTGACATGCTTCGAACAGCACTCATTTCCAGTTGATTTTTTTTTCCCAGTAATCAATCATCTATGAAAATGGCAAAAAAAAGCTTAGTGTCCTATGTCACAATATGTGCTGCTTTTGCATTTTGTCCTCAGGTCATCCAAGGCTCCATTTGCACATGTAGCAAATATCTGAGGACCTATTCTGTGTCTACCGCATTGACTTGGTGCTAGGGATACAGCAGTGAGCAAGCCATTAGCATTCCTGGCCTTCCAGGAGCCTGCCCCTCCACCGTAGCTCAGGGGCCAAGCTGCAGGATTCATGAGCAACCTTGGTTTCATAAGCATTGAGGGCAGTTCCTTTAGACCATTAATTAGCAAGTCAGAATTTGCAGAGACAAGGCAGGGCAGGGCAACAGAGAAGAGCAGGGAAATGGCTGTATATTCCCTGGGTTCTACTGAGCAAGGGCCAATTAGGTAACTGAAAATACAGACGGTACAGTTCCACCATGCAAATTAAATTAGGCCAAGTATCCTATGATCTCATATGCTTTGTCCTTAGAAGTAATGGGAAGAATTTTTTTGTAATTGGTTTTGTTTGTTATTTGTACACCATTTTCTAAACGCAGTCAATTCCAATGTCTGCATAAATAAATGGAAATCACTATTTGGGTAATCTAAAGTATCAAACACTTTGAATATCATATATACTTACATATATTTATACTTATTTTTGATTGTATCTCCATGGTCCTACAGATTTTTGGAATTCACATTTTAAAAGCAAAACCGTAAAAGTCAGGCACATTGGGCAACAATGTGTCTTAGCCAGGGAAGCCTGGTGCTCACCCCAGCCGCTGTGTGGCTCACTCTCTCAGCTCCCCACTGTGTGCTGGAAACAAATACTGTCTGCTCCTTAAATTACCATACTAAGTACAGCCAGCCAATTATTTAATTTTGGTTGTTTTTTTATTGTAAAATACACATAAAGTTTACCATTTTTCTTTTAAAGTATACAATTCAATGACATTGATTACATTCAGAATGTTATACATTATCACTACTGTCTAGTTCCAGAACATTATCATCACCCCAAAGTAAACCCCATAGTCATCAAGCAATCTCTTGCCAGTACCCCTGGAGCATCTCTTCAGGCCCTGCTCTTCCCTAGTGACCACTAATCAGCTTTCTGTCTCTATGAACTTGCCTATTCTGGATACTTCATGTAAATAGACTCACAGACTATGTGGTCTTTTGTGTCTGGCTTCTTTTACTCATCATAATATTTTTGGCTAAATATTCCTTTGATTGGAGATACCATATTTATTATAGACATTTTGGTGGTCTCCACCATTTGGCCATTGTGAATAGTATTGCTGTAACATTTGTGTACAGATTTTTATTTGAGCACATTTTCAGTTCTTTCTTGTATATACATAGAAATAGAATGCTGAGTTATATGGTAATTCTACATTTAGCTTTTTGAGGAACTGCCAAGCTCTCTTCCCAGTGGCTGCACCATTTTATATTCCCACCAGCAAGGTATGAGAGTTTCAGTTTTTCCCCATCTCCACCAACATGTATTTCCTGTTTTGTTGCTTAGTACAGCCATCTTAGTGGGTATGAGTTAGTATCTCATTGTGGTTTTCATTTGTATTTCCCTAATGATGAATGATGTGAAGTGTCTTTCCATATGCTTGGCAGCCATTTGTATATCTTCTTTGTAGAAATATCTATTCACAGTCCTTTGCCCATTTTTTAATTGGATTGTATTTTTGCTGCAGAGTTGTAAGTGTTCTTTATTTATGTTGGCTAGTAGAGCCTTATCAAATATGATTTACAAATACTTTTGCCCCTTCTATTGGCTGTTTTTTTATTCTCTTGGTAATAGCCTTTTCTGCACAAAAGTTTTTTAACTTGATAAAGTTCAGTTTATCTCTTTTTGCTTGTGCTTTTGTTGCCATGTATAAGAATTCAGTGCTCCAACCAAGGGAAAATTTACTCCTGTTTTCTAAGAGTTCTATAGTTTTCGCTTTTACATTTAGATCTGTGGTCCCTTTTGAGCTAATTTTTATGTATGGTGTAATGTAGGGGTCCAACTTCATTCTTTTGCATGTGAATGCCCAGTTATCCCACCACCATTTCTTCAAGAGCCTATTATTTCTCCATTGAGTGGTCTAGGCACCCTTGTCAAAAGCCACTGACCATATATGTATGGCCTTCAGACTCTGAATTCTATTGCATTGATCTATATTTCTATCTTTATGCTAGTACCACACTGCATTGACAACTGTAGCTTTTGCAGTAAATTTTGAAATTGGCAGGTGTGAGTCTTCCCATTTGTTCTTTTTTAAGGTCTTTTGGCTATTTGAGGTCCCTTGCAATTCCATGTGAATTGTACAATCGACTTTCCACTTATACAAAAAAAGGCTATTGGGCTGGTGTTCTAATAGACTTGATAAGGCACTGCATTCATACATCTCTAGGGTCTAGATAGCATTCCTCTGCACATACTTTGAGATCCTGCTCTTGGCAGAGCTCTTCACTAAGCAGCCCAGGGATCAATGGGTAACAACTTGAGATGAAGATTGACCAGGTAGCCCTCCCTGAAAGTGGAATGTGGGTATTGTCCAAAGGAGTCAATAGAAGTTAGCTCCATAATATTAGACAAGTCTTTATTTCCAAATATATTGTGCTTAATTATGTATTTTAAAATGTGATACTAACACATAAAATATATCACCAAGAGGGAGCTCGAAGATCATCTAACCTGAGTCTTTACCTTAAAACTGAGAAAGTTAAAGTCTAAAACTATGGGAAGCAAGCAGCTAGTCACTGACATGCTTTAAACTCCTGTTATGTATCATTGATATACCATTAATATGCATGATGAAATAATGATTTGAAAACTCTTATGGGGATGATTTTTTGCCAAGCTCGTAAACCAGATTCCTAACTCAAACATAATATAGTTCTTGAGACTTTCCATTAGAGAATGAAATTGAACTAAAATCAGACAAGGCCCACAGTGGCTGGTTAGCCCAGCTGGTTAGAGGATGGAGCTAACAAAATCAGACAATACCTTTCAGAAGTTACTGTGAAGTGTACAGTCACGGAATGCAGAGCAGTTGGGACATCAAAATACTGGCTCTTTTCTTTCAAAAAACTGTTTTGCATCCTTATTACATAGATTGTGTTTTTAACTTTCAGAAATGGCCCTTTATGTTTAGTTACAAAATCACTAGCTTTCCAGTGATGAGTGACTCACCTTCATAGAGACCCCTGCAGTAGCAGAATTTGAGGCATTGTTAATCCTGCTTATAAATTTAACAGCACTCCTAGATTCATAATTCTAATGAGATGAGGATGAAGATAATGATAGCAAACGCCTATGTACTACTTATCCAGGAACTGTCCTACAGGCATAGAGAGTAACATACATATAACACACAAATATAGATTATGTATATATATCACATGTCAGGTAATACTCAGCAACCCCAGAGGTAGAGGTTATTACCTTTATTTTCATATGAGGAAACAAGACACAGAACACACAAAAGCCCTTTCCTCGGTAGAAGAGCTAGTAAGTGGAGCATGGATTGGAACTCAGATGACCTTAAATTTTCCAGAGCCTACACTTCTTGATTACAAGGTTTTATGAATCATTGAAAGCAAGGTCATTATTCTTTGTACTTAGGAATCTTATAATAAATACTGCAAATGATAGCAGAGCAGTTATTGAATAACTGATGCTGGTGTGTCCTTCCAGGCCAAAGAGGACGAATGACCAATAGATGTGAGGGACATGAAGTACATATTGAAGTAGGAAGGAACATTTTATTTCTCTTTGCCTTCTGTATGTTTATGGACTAGGGAGCTTCAGTTCAGGCTATTGCCATTTTGCCAAAACTACAAGCCTGGTGGTAGCAAAAGAACAAAACGACAAGGCCTGGCTGAGGGGTCCTAGAACCTCAGTCTCTCACATAGGACTCTAAGTCACCTAAAAATCAGTTTCCCCATCTGTAAAGCAGAGAAGAGGATAGAGGGAGAGGAGGAAGGGAGGGAAGTCATGCTTTAGCACCTTGTAAATCAGAAAGAACTATGCAATTGTAAATCTTTCTCACCAAAACTTACAATTCAACTTAAAATACATGATCCTGTTGGCCTTTATTGAGCTTGTTTTTCCACAAAAGTATGAGTGTTTATGTAGGAGGCAATATTTGTGGTTTTTTAATCATACAGCTGCCTGAGTGCTTAAATTGTCATCTCTTAAGAACTTCTTTCCTATCACATGATTCAGTTTAGGCATCCATCATCCCAGCTGAGAGAGTTCCTTGCTTTTGCTCCAAACTGGATAAACTTGAGCACTCGATGGCTAAGTTGGTGTTTGAGGTCTGGTGATGTAATCATGTTATTAGAATTTTAAACAACTGGAAATATTCTTTAGCTTCCACAAACACAAGTTTCTTTTCAACCTTGGGCACAGTGTGAGGCAGATGACAGAAGGGGAGACACAGGAATGCTACTGGCCAGATGATAATAATAGACGCCTTATGGGTGGGATGGCCAAGTCAAAGGGGCCATACCAGTTGACAAGTACCATGTGGGTTCATTTATCTACAGTAGGAGTTGAGCACAGCTATGATGAATAAACTCCCTAGTGTATTTCTTTTTTGTTTTCTTAATTCTTCCTCAGAGCTAGATATTTCCTCATTCAGGGAGGACAGCAGCGTCCTTGTTTGATCAGCCTATCTTACATAACGTTTGAATAGCCATGGGACCAATACTATAACCAGTTGATTCAAGCTGGTCAGACCCTATCTAGAATGTTGTGTTTGCATTGCGGTGGGGATGGGACATGTCTTACGGTTACTGGCAAACTGAAATGTGAGCAGGACTATGAATTCTGTTTAAATCCTACTGTGAAAGGTCTAAGAAACTGAGGGGTTTCACTTGGAACGAGGAAAGGTGGTGGAAATGGGGATCGGGACATAGTTCTGGCAGTTCTTTGCAGGTCTGTGAGGGCTGATGATGTGGGAAGGGAATTTACTTATTTCCTGCAACTCTAGAAAATAAGAGTGTGACCTTTGTGTAACCATTGAACCTCTTAGGTCTTAATTGCCTCATTTGTAAAATTAAGGATTGGACTGTCTCCCCTCAGGGCCTCGGTCCTGTGACTAACAGGTCTGGTGAGTGGGCTTCCCTGGAAGGCAGCCTCTCAGAGTGAGCTTCCTGTTTCAGAATGGAATGTTCCAATTCTTCACTCGCCAAAAGAAATTTAATGTGAGCCACACAAGTAATTTTAAATTTTCTAGATGTCACATTTTTAAAAGAAACAGATGAAATCAATTCTAATGATTTTATTTAACCTAATATGACCAAAATATTATTTCAGTAAATAATCAAGATAAAAAGATTGTTAATGAGATGCTGTGCATTCTTTTTTTCATACTAAGCCTTCAAAACCCATTATGTTAACACTGCCAGCACATCTCAGTTGGGACTAGCTGTGTTTCACGTGCTCCGTTGCCACCTGTGGCCAATGGCTGCCATCTTGGGCAGCACAGCTTTAATGACCATGCCAGTGCTCCCCACATGTCAGAACCTAGTGAAGGGCTCTACAAGTACATCTTTTCATTCAGACCTTAGCATCAGTTCTCTGAGAGAGTCCCATCATATAATGAAAAAAAAACCATAGAGATTAGACAATTTACACAAGTCCTCGCAACTTGTAAGCTACAGGAGCCCTGACTCAACCTTAGATCCATCGGACTCCATGTCCTTAACCATTAGGCATACGGCAGGGGAATGGGGGGTGGGGGTGAGGTCCCCATCCTCAAATGAGGTGCTTCTGTATATGGGAGATGTCTGGGGTAGAACTTTGGCAGTGGATTCCACAGGCCTGACATAAAGTAAATTTCTGAGCGAAAAAGCTTGGATGGGCAGTTCCTCCTCCAGCAACTCCTAAATAAACAAACATTCCTTGTCCCTGACAAGGCATGCATGAACAACCCCAGTCATTCTGGCCACCAGATAGCTTAAGAGACAAGCTGCAAGTTTCCTGGAAACATATATCATAACTAGTTCCTAGAATATTATGTCAAATTAGAAACAGTCACTGTTTATATTTTTTAAATCACCTAAAGCTTTTATTTTTAGGTCGATGTTTGTGTTTCATACATTTATAGTGATGATTGAGGAGGGAGTTGCATGGGGAGGAGATGGTGCTTGGCTCTCAGCCCCCGCCGCCTCGGAGCAGTGCCGCCTGTCTCCCACGCGGCTGTAATTAGCCCTGAGCCCACCTTTGACTCCCCGTGGAGGGTTTGCGCATTCCCAGACAGCCTGTAAATCCCCAGCTGTGAAGGGTTATGGGGCAGAGGAAATGGTTGTGATCATTCTTCTCATACAGACTTACAATAAATAAGAAATGAGAAAAAAAAAAGTTTACAGATGATTTATTGGATTTTATCCTATTTTCAAAAATAATATATTTGGAATTAACTTTGAGGGTTTCCTGCCATTTGGCCCAGTGCTTCAAAACGTGAATAATGTTGTTTTCGTTTTCCGATTTTCATGCTGTGTGAACATTTCCTACTATAGTTGAGGAAGAAATTCATCATCCAGTGACATCATGTAATAGTACCTTTGAAAGAACTGATGTTAAATGCAACAATAGGGGCCGCTAGGAAAGTGAAACTTCGGATGCTGATTAGATCTGTTTATAATTTAAGGCAACTTCTGTTTATATTTCCTTTTGCTGGAAGGGAAGCTATATCCAATAATACTGTTCCCACTTATGTAAAGTGAACAGACTTGACCATTTGCCTTCTATGTTAGTCTTTCTACACAGTTACATAACTTGATGTTTAATTAGGAACAGGTGGCCAATTACCCTAAAGAATTCATATGAGAAAACATACAATTTCAGTTCTTCCAGAGGAGCTTCCAGCTCTTCCCTTTTCGTTGAGCAGCTCTTCTCATCTCTACCACCTGCAGACAAGGACCCAAGCCAATTGGTTAGTTCTGCCACCAGACCTGAGGTCCTTGCACACCCATTTGCACAGCTTCTGTGTCAGCAGCCGCCGAACGCTCCAAGCCCACGTGGCATTGCTCCTCCACTGCCCTTCAGGCTGTTTCATATCTTTCTCAGAGCAGAAAGGTAACAGTTGGACTGACTCCTAAAGGCTTACATGTATTAAATAGGCTCAGAAGTTTCAGTTGTTAAAGTCTGGAAACCATCCCACACCCTGTAAGGTAGCAGCCATATCGGCAGCACTTGCACCTCCTGCTCATCCAAAAAATAGTCTCAGTCTAAAAAGAAGACAAGGTGTTTAGATAAGGAATCTTGTGACATACTTGTGCCCGTGTTACTGACAGCATAATCCTTAAAACATCAAACACATAAAACCCAGACTTCGATTATCAAGCATTCACAAACTTTCAGGAGCCTGAGAGCAGACATGGTGAATTTCTGCAAGGCTGTTTTATTTTAAAGGATTATCTTTGAAGCCTCATTTTTGTATGTGTTTGTGCACTCCCTCAGAAGCAGGTTTTTGTGCATCAGAACTGCTCCCTGAAAATCTGTCTCTTCTTTCTTGGTTTTGTAAGGACCAAAAAGCTGATAATTGATGTGATCCGGAACCAGCCAGGGAACACGTTGACAGAAATCTTAGAGACACCAGCAACTACACAACAGGTAACTGGTCCTTGAGTGTAAAATAACAAGTACCATGGATACGAGTTGATTTTATTAACAAATCTTTATGTCAAATGTTTACTGTTATCACAGAAAAACTGTATCTGACATGATTTGGAAGTGAGGAATTCTACCCATTGCTCTGACCCACTGAATTCAGCCATATAGAAAATCCATATGAAATATTAGTGGGAATGAAACAGAAAATACACACCAAATTTATGCTGATTATAATTTTATCCTAGACTAGGCAGATAGTTCTAGGCTTTCAAAGACTCTGAATATTCAACATAAACTTTATCATACAGTAGATGGTGAATAAATCATTTAAGAGAGAGTTCTGGTTGGCAAGATGTAGAAAAATACCTTTCATATTTTATGTATTTGCTAACTTGAAGAAATGAAGAAGTGTCATATATTAAAACTATTTTCCAAATGCTTCAGAAGGAAATATCTTCAGTCCATGGTATCTGAGCACCATTTTCCTGGTGAAAGTAAAGTTGCATAATAATCTTAGATTAAACTTATGAATATCTCTTAAAATGCATCATTAAATCATTCTGAATTAAGTTAATCTTGATGTTATTGCTTCAGAACCAATAATTACTGCTCCCTAAAGTGAACAAAATCAAATTAGTTACTTCTTAGCAGAGCTACACATAATTTCTGACTCATTCTTAATTTCATTGGTTGCCAAGAAATTATGTCACAGTTTTTCATAAAAAACATAAAATAAAGCTTCCAGTTATCCAATGTCTTGTTAATGTGTGAATTTTTTTAACAATATCCTACTAATTCAGAATTTTAGTCCTTATAGGATATTTCATTTTTCCCCAAATATAGCATGATCACTAAGAATGCAGACTTCAAGATCAAGTATCCCTCTGCACCTCCTAGCTGTGCTAACTCTAGGCACTTAGAAAGAGTTCTGTGCCTTAGTTTCCCAAACTGTAAAATGGGAATAACAATAATGTTCCCACTTCACAGACAGGAATGAATCAGTTAAGACATATTAAGTGGGTAGAATAGTGTCTGGCACATAATAAGTGCTCAATGATACTGGCTACTGCCACCATTGCTGTTCACTGCTGACCAGGTTAGCTCTTCCTGTGTCCATAATGTTGACTGTCCGTCATGTGTCTAATAACATTTGCATCCTTAGACTTTATTGTTTCAGTGGTCCAGTACAATGAAGTGGGAAGATTACCGGTCTCTTCTTATTGTTTTTTTTTTAACAGACTATCCAGATCGTATTCATTCATTCATTTATTCATCATTTATTTGGAAACTTACTATATACTACAATATTCTTATTCCCTTTAGTTCAAAGAAACCCTGAGGGTTTCTCAAATTGGTATTTTGAGAGTGGTGTGTGAAGTGGCTGTTAAGTGAGAGTTTAGTTGGATTTTGGCTGTTCAGGGTTCTCACAGCCATATTTATTCCCTTTTCAGGAAATAGATCATGCAAAAGACATGGCGAGCCGTGCAATTATAGATTCCAGGACTCCAGAAGGAATGAAGCATAGCAAGTCTATGGTTGAAGATGCACAGCTGCCCCTTGAGCAGAAGAAGAGGAAAATCCAGAGGAATCTTCGGACTTTGGAACAGACTGGACACGTGTCATCTAAAAATAAATACCAAGACATTCTCAATGAGATTGCCAAGGTTTTTGGAAATAATATTCTTTCTTCTTCACTTAGCAGATATTTGCTAATCATTGGTCACATGCTGGGCACTCTGTGAGGTGACTAAGGGATTCATAGTTGTATATTACATGGTCAGTATTACAGAATTTTAATGGTTTCAAAACAGTTGGTGACTTTCAGTACAGAATAATCACAAGTCCCCCAAGTCATGAGGAGAGTTGACAGGTACCAGAAATAAATGCTAAGGAAATATAATAACAAGTTATGTCTATACCTTTAAGCATTTTAAATGATACTTCTCAGAGAGTTTTCTCTTGAGTTCTTAGTTGTCATATAGCCCAGTTGTTCTTGGGACCTGCCACTGAGATGGTAACTTTGTGTCCCTGAGAATTTGCCTCTTAGCAGTTTGGCCTAAATGCAGTTCAGACTTAAAGGTTACTTTGTTTCTCATCCTATATTTTTACAGTTGAGAAACTTCCTGAGGAATGGGCCTCAAATTAGTGCAAGGAAACATCACAGGAAATGGCTGAGATCTGTTTGCTAAGGATAAGGAAGTATTAACATTTGTGTTAAAAGGACATTTCATCCTTTTTATCCAAAAATGCAAATTAAAGTGGGTCTGGAGGTTAAGGGCAGGAAAGAGAGCAGGAAAAAAAAAATTCTTACCTTTGGGAAGGGAAATGCACGCTGTTTGATGCTCCCATGGAAAGTTATAGTCACTTATTTCTGGCAGCAGGCATATTCCTTCCCGCCTGAGTGAATCAAGGGAAGTAGCATTTCTTTCTCTAGCTCTCAGGTGGAAAATGTTTCTCTTTGGGAATATGTAGTAAGGATACTGACACTGCCTTCAAAAAAGGAAAAGCTATCATAAAGGCACCCACCAAAAGATTCCATTTTATGAAGAATTTTTACTTAAGAAGGGAATGTATATCTCTTTGTCTCTGTCTTTGGGTTCCTTGGGTAATGATTTTTAATTTGTCCACAAAGGAAAAATAATATTAAACAGGCACCATTTTCATAAATGAAACATTTTCATAATTTACCAATTAGAATTTTTTAAAATATTATATCTATAAGTTTAAATATAGGATAGCTCTTGTAGGCTGTCAGAAGTTTGGACAACTTTATGTTCTGGAAACTCTATGTAAATCCAAGCGGTCATTATCAGTGTTGAATCTTTTCAGCCACTCTTCACAGCCCACTTGTTTTTGTAAACCTTGAGAAGTATTTCCCATATTAAAAAGTAAATTGTACTTATTTCTAAAGTGGATGCAGTCATTACATGTAAACCTTTTCAGTGTGTTTTTCAAAGTGGAATGTTCAAAATATTCTGAAGAAACTGCTTGTCTCCTAAAGTCTTCCTTGTACCTCTTTTAAAATATTACTTTCCCTTAAATTAATTGTATAATTATTCTGAAATGGTTTCTTTGCTTTTATCAAGAAAAAATAAATAAACCTTAGCAACTTTCTTAAAGTAAAATAGGGACACTTGCTATTTCTCAAGTAAGAAAGAAAGGGGACACTAGGTATTGAGAGATTAAAACAGAGCAACTGAGATAAACTACAAGTGAACAGTCACAAAAAAAAGATTCAATACTTGATATTCTTCTTGTCCCAAATTGGCAATATTGCAGCACAAACTTCTGCTTAAATCTCCCATCATCACTTTTCCTTGCTCTTTCAGGATATTCGAAACCAAAGAATCTATCGAAAGCTTCGAAAAGCTGAATTGGCAAAACTTCAGCAAACCCTGAATGCACTTAATGAGAAGGCAGCATTTTATGAAGAGCAAGTTAATTATTATGACACCTACATAAAGACTTGTTTAGACAACTTAAAAAGAAGGTAAGTTAAAGCCATATATTCATTTGTGATATCATGATTTATATAGGGCATCAATTCTTTTACAATTCTGGGCTGGTGGGTTGGATTTGGCGGCAAACTTTGTTTTATTTTATAACCAAAAAGTATAATCTCAATTTTATGACTTGACATTGTGAATTAAGAAGTCAGGAATGAATTTAGAAACATTTAAATTTCCCATCAGCATTGGAGTTAAGGTAGTTTACCCTGTTGTCTTTTAAGCAAGTAGCTTTAAGACTGGGGGATGCACTTTCATTATTCCCTTTGTCTTTTTTAGTCAAAGGGGTCTTTTAAATACTATCATAAAAAAATAAATAAATAAAAGCTACTCTTATTTTTGGAATGTTTACAATAAACAGTACTTTATATACTTGATAATGTTAGATAATGCCAGTTATTTGCTAATTGTACTGTGTGACTTAATGATTTTAAATTGCTTAGTGATTTTAAAAAATCATTATAGATAAAAAAGACAAAATTTGGCAGTTCTCTATTCCGTTAGCATACCTATTATAGATTTTTTATATAAAATATAACTATGTATTCTTTGCTCATAATTATTCTTATCATTAGACTAAGATCAATAGTAATCAAACTTTAATTACCCATCTAAATTTGTAATACAATATTTTCATGTAATCCTTGGAGTCAAACTGGCAGTAGGAAATGATGCTGTATGTAAAAAGCAATTGCATGAGTCATAGAAGATTTGATGAAGGGAAATAACCAAATGTAAACCTCATTTATTTGGGCCTCATTAGTTCTGAATTTTAATTCATTTGCTTATGGCCTGTAAATTACTTTTACTCTATTCCTGGGAGGAAGGAGTTGATCAAACTACTATTCAGTAGAAATAAGCTTGTCAGGGGTTTTCTTTACATATTTATTACAACTACTTGAAGGCATTTTACAAGCTCTGCAGTCAGATGAGCTGGATTTGCTTCTGAGTCTCTTACAATGTGTGGTCTTGAACCAAAGACCTTCTTTGGAGACTCAATTTTCTCATCTTTAAAGTGGGATTAGGAGTGCCCCCCTCACAAGTATAGTTATGAGACCTAAATGAAATAATACATAAGAGAGGAATTTATTTCAAAACACTACAGAAACAATAATTTTGTAAATGTGAGGTATTACTTACAAAGTGGTTAGAACAGTACTGGCCACATAGTATTTGTTAAATAAATTAAAGTGGTCCTAGTAATACCTTTAGTTAGGAGTACACAGTTCATGTTGTTACAGCAAAGACACTTGCAGAGTGATTTACGGTAGCCACTTAGTTCAATATGCCTAAGAAAATAGAGTACCCGTTTCATGAAAAATAATTAGTCTGTAAGTTAAATTTCAGTTATTTTGTAAATAGCTTTCCCTTCCACTTCAGCAGTGAGGTTTTACTGTATGGGGAACATTGTCACTCACTGTCACAAAATAAAAAGTTGCATGTCCAGTGCACTGGGGACCAGGTACAAACAGTGGTGTGCACCCTGGACGTGATTCTTGCACCAGCAGAAACCATCGTGAAGGCACATGGCTTGTTGTTCTTTGTCAGAAATTCTCGGAGATCAATTAAACTAGATGGAAAAGGAGAGCCCAAAGGGGCAAAGAGAGCGAAGCCGGTGAGGTACACCGCGGCAAGGCTGCACGAGAAGGGTGTCCTGCTGGGGATAGACGATCTTCAGACAAACCAGTAAGTGTGACCTGGGATCGGCAATGAGCCCACACACACTCTAATCCTCCCGGAAAAACCTGACTCACCTATCGGTGGTTTCCTGCGGCCTTTGGGTGCTTCACTTGGTCGATCACGGCTTACCCTTGATTCCAGATGGCGGGGAGGAACCCGGCTTTGTAACCTCTAGTCCTCCCATCAGGCCTTGAGCACCTGGCACTCTGGGTTGTGTGCAGTGCTGATTGAGTGACTGCGCTTCCCATAGCTTGTCCAGCGCATTTGGACTTGCCGGCTTCCCTTTCCCACCACAGGAACTGCGGCATAGCACTGAGAATGAAAGACTGTCCTCTGGTGTTGGTAGATGAGGGTATTTACAATGGCAGAATAGTACCTTTCTAATAGTTCCGGAAGTGCCAGCATCTGTGGCAGAGCCACCCCAGCCGTGTGCTGTTGGTGTGTGTTTGAGGTGGAGGAGAAAATGAAAGCTGTCCTCTGTGACCCCACAAGGGTGCCAGAGGGTTCTCCATTTTAAAGGGACCTTGAGCCTCATGCCCCACTGTCCTTTGGAGGAAGCCAGACAAGCTACTGTCCTCTCTGACTCCTGCTGTGAAGGCCTAACTTCTTTTCCAATTATCCTTTCAAACCTCCGAAGTACACTGACTTGAGTCTAACAAAATGCTGCTGCTGCTTTAAAGTTTCTACAAAAGACTTCATCTGGAACACTCAACTGGTCTGTCAGCAGTGTGAATGAATATTTACTTCTCATGTTCTGTGAATCTTGTCTATTTGCAGCTACATGTTACACTCTTTCAAAGCAAGGACCATGTTTACATTTCTTTTATAATAAAGCCCGTACTTCAGTACTCCCAGCTATAGATCTCAGCCAAAGCCAGCAACCTAGCTTTAGGGAGTAGAGCAGGCAAAAGATGATTAGAGGTTTTGGATGACTTCCTTAGGATTTTCCCAGTAGACAGTTCCCCTAGCAATAAGAATTTAGGATTTGGTTAATTTGTTTTAGCTTTAAGCATATATTTACAATTCCACATGTATGAATGTCCCTTTCTTTTCTAGGTTTAAAAATGTTATATTTGACATCATATCTACTGAAGATGTGGGCATCTTCGATGTCAGGTCAAAATTCCTGGGTGTTGAGATGGAAAAGGTGCAGCTCAATATTCAGGTAAGCTGGGATTTCTGCAAACTAGGGGTGAGTTATATACTGTGGGACGTTTATGGCTCCCCTGGCTTACACTCTTCAATGACAGCAGTCAAATTTAACAGAACACCAATGCAAGCCTGATTTGCCACTATTATCTTTTTAAGCATTGATGATTTCTTAAAAGCTTTGATTTCTCAAATTACTAGAATTTCAAATGCTTTTAGAAGGTAAAGTAGAGCCATCAGTTTTTCTAAGCTATGGTACCATTTTGAAGCTTATAAAAAATAACATAAAAGTATTTAGAGCTATTAACTAAAGGCTGGAACATTTCCTCTTATTAGGAATTTGCATTTCTTTCTAAGACTGCATATACCAGGACTGGAACTTTGCTAATCTCATTTCTTCTTTCTCCTTTCTCAAATTGCTTTTACATCATTTCCTTAAATCTACTTGTTAAATGTTTGGTATCACAAGAATTTTAAAAAGTTGTGTAAAATAAGTTATGTATAAATAGAAAAATGGTGTTTGTAATCCCAATAGCTATTTTCTCATAAGAACCACATTTATGCCAAATAGACTTGAACCAAAACTAAGAAATCCAGTTTATGAACTACAAAAAAGGGCGATGCAACCAAATGTTTAAGTTCATCTACTCCCAACTTCTTAGTCCTTAGCCCAGGATCAATGTAGAGAAGTAATTGAATTCTTCCATTTAGTATAAGAATTTTTTAATGGAAATAACACCTGGCCCCAAACTACTTGTAAAATGGATACCGGGTATTCTGCATGTATCTGCATGAATCCTCTTGATGAGCCACGGGGTAGCAAGGTAAGATCTAGGCTCACCACCTCCTCAGCCCATGGCTGAGAGCCCTGAAATTACCTCCCCTCCCTGGGAGCAGATACTAAAGCCCTTCTTTTCCTTCTAGTATCCTTGTAGCTTAGCTTAACAAGAAAAGTGGGAGCTAAACTGGTCTGATAAGGACGTTGAAATAATAGAGTAAATTAGAGTGCAGAGAGAAAACTAAAGATTAAAGATTGATAAGTATACTTGAGTAAACAGTATTGTTTTCTAACTTATTTTAAATGTCACCAAATCTATCCATCTAACAACATAACTGCAAGCCTTGAGTTACTTTATGTAACATTTAGATAACTTTGGGAAGAGTAAAGAATGTGCTTGGTTAGTGATTCCTCTAGCAGTGGCAGAGACACATCACATGATTGCCAAGAAGGAAATGACCCAAGACCAATCAATATCACCTTGACAGATGAATCCCAGGTGACCAGGAGATATCTGTTTAGAGAGCCCTCAGGAATCCCATGAGACTTCCTTTGGACACTGGTACAAATACCAAGCTTCACTTGCTCTTTGTTAAGGATTCACTATGCAGGAGGATTAGCTATTCATACCATTCATTTATACACATAATTGATTGTGAAATGTTACTCCTCAGCTGTATGCAGGTGACTAATATGCTCTGAATTTTTAAAGACATTAACATCATTAGGACCAGCTATATAATTGGCAGGGTTTGGTGGAAAATGAAAACACAGAGCCCCTTATTCAGAATGATTAAGAATTTCAGGATAATGACGGCAAAGCATTAAACTAAGTGCAGAGCTGTTTTGATCTTGGGATCCTGCACAGACTGAATGCCCAAGGAGCCAGCTCCACTTATAACAGCTGTCAGATATAAAGTCAAACTTCTTTTTATACTTACGGCTTTCAATTACATCATTAGGTGAATTACAGATGAGAAACGTGATGGCCAGGTCTTCACTTTAAGTCAAGTACTCAAAGCAGGACAGAAGTTTCTAAAAGCACTAAGGGAGATCCTTTCTAACATTACTAGTTTCTAGGTCTACTCCAGCCCACTCTTCCCTCAGTTCCTAAAGATAATATCCTAATTATATCCTATAGCTATATAGATATAACAGGAGGATATGACTTACATGAAGATGTTCTCTTTATACAAATAATGGCCAGTGTTTATCAAGGGCTGCAGGGTAGGCACTCTTCCTTTGCCAGATGAAAATCTGAGGTTCAAAGAGCTCATTATTCAAAGAGGCAGCTGGGGTCTGAGCTTTTCATCTTTCTGCTCCTGCCTCTCTCACAGGATTCCAGTTGATCCTAACAAGACAAGGGTTGCTTATGAAGTATTTTGCAAATACCTTGATCTCATATGCCCAATGGCCCATATTCTCCATGCTGTACTTTCATCCCTGTAACTAATTTATATTATGAATGAGATTTTGTGCCTCTTTCTTCCCTTTACCTATTTGACCCAGCCACCCCAATTTTGATGAACAGATGTTGCATTTCTCAAAGGAAAAGTGAATCTCCATCACACTTTAATAGGTAAAAGCACTCTTGATGAAAGAACTTCAATTCTCTATGGAATTTCCATCCCAGAAGCTTATCTAAATAATGTAGGAGTTTAAAACTGTTGAGTGCAGTTAGAGGTAATTGAGGAAGTGGAGGAGGAAGCTGGCAAGAGCCAAAGTTCTCTCAAAGCTGACTCCAACTTCTGCAGGTGGCCTTGCTTAATATGGACACAAAGCATTATCATTTAGAACCAAGAAGTTTCCAGAGCTAGAAACAGGAAAATGAGACCTGGGGAGTACTCTAGGACAGTTTAGGAGTATCTTCTATTTGCGAAAGACCCCCTGTCCTGTGTTACTGTGAAATGTTACCGCTTAGTCTCATACATATGACTGGCGTGACCTAGTTATTAATTTTAGCAAGAGAGTTGATTTCCTTTTTTATATGGTGCCAATGATACAGAATGATAGGCTGACTTGAGAAAGAGGGCTTGTTCTCAACAGGAACAGAGGTCATCTAGATCAGAAAGAATGAATGGCTTTTGTACAGTAGTCTCCAAATTTCAATCACACAACTTCACTAGTAAATAGCATGTTCATCTCCCCCTATCTGTACACAGTTATTTATGAAGTATACATACTGCTACCACTGTACTCAAAATGTATTTTATAAAATATATATAAAATTTATATGTTTAGGAAATGAGAAAAAATAAGAGTTCTAATATTCTTTTTTTGCTCCTCAATAAATTGTCTTACTCCACTTTAGAAAACACTGCTGTTCCAAGGATACACCCCATTTTGCTAGTGGATATTTTGTATTTTTCAATTAAAAGTTATAATTATACATTTGATATTAACTTGATGCTTTTCTCATACAGTCCTTATTAACATTAAAAACTATTTTCTTTCATCTAGGTAAGTGATTCTCAAATTATGGCACTCAGACCTCACATGGGAACTTGTTAAAATGAAAATTCTTGTCCCCCTCCCCAACAAAATCAGAAATTCCCAGGGGTGGGCCTAGCAATCTGCATTTTAACTAGCATCTGTCTTTAGGTGTTTCTAATGTACACTGACATTTAGATACCGCCACTTAGGTCATAAGGTCAATTGAATCCTATTTTTACAACAAGTTCTTCTGGATGTTTTTAAATGTACAAAATGTCAAATTTTAGATTTAATGACATTCCCTGCAATTTCAGGATTTACTTCAGATGCAGTATGAAGGAGTAGCTGTAATGAAAATGTTTGATAAGGTTAAAGTGAACGTTAACCTTCTAATATACCTGCTGAACAAGAAATTCTATGGAAAGTGAAGTGCCTGCAAAAACTTCCTGGATTCTGTATCACCTAGATTGGGAAACAAATCTGTTTAGCATTTTTGTTTTTAAACTTGATTGAAATCACTGCTTATAAATGTGTGACTTTTTTTTTAAAACAAAAGACCAAAACTTTCCCGAAGAATGTACCCATGTGCCTTTTTGATCATTTGATACTATAGGAGAACAATACACAAAATGAATTAATGTAAACACTTTCACATTATACTGTGGTATAGGTACTTTGATTTAAAACTTTGGACATTCTGTGATTTAAAGTAGGGAGAAAATTAATTTAGTTGACTAGAGACATGTGTAAACCTATTTTCCTATGAAAAAATTTTAAATGTTCCATTTGAGTAATGTAATTCTTCATAGGTCGTTTTTTTTTTAATCTGTGAAGAAATGGAAACCTAATTATTTGTAATGAATTATTTAGACAGCCCCGCCTTCTGGGAGTTATCAATTTTAAAGAGAACTTTTGTGCAATTCAAAATGAAGTTTTTATAAATAATTGAAAGTGACAATACAGTAACACTTTCTGTATAAAAGTACATATTTTATGTGATTTATTCCTACTAAATAAGTGCACTACTGCCTCATGGTAAAGACTCTAATACCCAGAGCCTTTAAGTGACTAAGGAACACCGGGGATAGTGATCTTAAGTCTCCACCTCCACCCCTCCAATTTATTTGAATACTTCAATTGTGCCTCTCAATTTTTTGTAATGCAATAAGTCAGTGTCTAGATGGTTTTTAAATGTATTCTTTGAAAATTGTTTTATGTAAAATAAATTACTGAATTACATTAATTTGGCTTTGTACTTGCCTTAATAAAGAAGGGCAGGAAAAAGTTCTTGGTGGGGCTTATCAGGAAAAGAAGGATATACCTGTAGCTGTGCTCGATAGGTACAGAGTAAGCTGCTATGACCATGAGATCCAAAACCATGTGGCTCAAACAAGAGAGATTTTCTCCAATTCAGTTCAAAGGTAAGTAAGCAGGGCCACATGTTATCCAGGGATCCAGGCTGGTTAATGGGCTCTGTCCTTGCCATTCATTCCTGGCCTGCAGGAAGGGGGAAAGAAGTCCAGGGCAAGCCATTTTAAGTTATACCTGTCACTGCTGCTTATATCCCCAGTCACCTGACCACAGAGGCACCAGCCCTTTGCCCACCCACCAACTCCCTGGACTGTGTGGGCCTCTTCAACATCAGCCACCCTGCCAGTGCAACCTGGCAACCCTCCTGGCAACCACACAGGAGAACCCTGGCCCACACCTGAGAATCCCTGTCACTGGAACACCCTAGTCCACACCCACCAGGCCTCCTGTCAGCCAACCAAACCATCAGGCACATGCAGTCTACCAGCAGGACATTCCTACACAAGGCCAATCCTTCAAGAGTGGAAGAGGCAACCCTTTCAACTAAGTCATAAAATCAAGCACAGAAAATGAGGAGACAGAAGAATATGCTCCAAAAACAAACCTTCAGAATAAAACTAAATGAAATGTAACCAATTTACTTGATAAAGAGTACAGAGCAATGTTTGTAAAGATGCTCACCAAAAGAATGGATGAGCTCAAGGAAGACGTCAACAAAGCAATAGAAAATATAAAAAGAAACAATCAGAGATGAAGAACACAATAATGAAATAAAAAATACACTGAAGGGAATCAACAGCAGACTAGAAGATGCAAGGGAACAGCAACTTTGAAGACCAAGCAATGAAAAGCACTCAAGCTGAAAAGCAGGAAAAAAAAAAAAAAAAAGGAAATGAGGATAGGTTAAGGGAGCTCTGGGACAATATCAAATGTCCTAATATTCCATTAGAGTAGCCCAAAATGAGAAGAAAGAGAGAAAGGGGTGAAAAAATAATAGCTGAAACTTCTTTAACCTAGGGAAGGAAATAGGCACCCAGGGTCCAGGAAGCAGAGAGCCCCAAAAAAGATGAATCCAAGGAGGTAACTATACATAATAGTTAAATGTCAAAGAACAAAGACAATCTTAAAAGCAGCAAGGAAAAGCAATGAATTACCTACCAGGAAATGCTATCAGATGATTTTTTAGCAGAAACTCTACAGGCCAGAAAGGAGTGGCATGATACATTCAAAGGGCTGAAAGAGAAAGACCTACAACCAAGAATACTCTAACTAGCAAGGTTATCATTCAGAATTGAAGGAGAAAGCTCCTCTCAGATGAATACAGGTTAAAGGAATACACCGCCACTAAACCAGCCTTAAAAGAAATGTTAAAGGGACTTCCTTAAGCAGAAAAAGGCCATAACTAGAAGCAAGAAAATTTTGAAAAGAAGAAATTTCACTGGTAAAAACAAACAGCAATTAGGTAAAAGCTAGTATGAACATTAAAAGACAAAGTAGTAAAATCAACTACTTCTAAAAATTAAGGGAATGACTAAATAAAAGGTGTTAAAGAAGACATACATTAAACATGAGAAGGGAGAGTTAAAATGCATTCAATGATTATTCAAACTTAAGTGACTATCAATTTAACATAGACTGCTATATACATAAGACATCATATATAAGCTACATGGTAACCCCAAACCAAAATTCTACAATAGATAACAAAAAATAAAGAGAAAAGAATCCAACCTTAACACTGAAAGAAGTCATCATGCACAAGGGAAGAGATTAAGAGAAGAAAGGATCACAGAAAAATTAAAAGCCAGAAAGTTTAACAAACTGGCAATAAGTACATACCTATCAATAAGTGTAAATTGTCTAGATGCTCCAATTGAAAGACATAGTGTGACTAAGTAGATAAAAAAACAAGACCCATTTATATGCTGCCTACAAGAGTTTCACTTCAGACCTAAAGACACAGACAGACTGAAACTGAAGGGATGAAAAAAGATATTCCGTGCAAGTAGGATGAAAGAAAAAAAAGCTGGAGTAGCAGCATTTACATCAGACAAAATAGTCTGTAACAGATAAGGACATTATATAATGATTAAGGGCTCAAACCAGCAAGAAGATACAACAATTGTAAATTCCTACATACCCAACAGAGGAGCACCCAGAGAGAAAGTATTAACATACATGAAGGGAGAGATTGAAGTAATACATTAATAGGAGACTTTAAAACCTCATTTACACCAAGGACAGATGATCCAGACAGAATATCAATAAGGAAACAATGGCTTTTAATGACACATTAGACCAAATGTACCTAATAGATACATACAGAACATTATATCCAAAAAGAGCAGAATTCTCATTCTTTTCAAGTGCACACAGAACGTTCTCTAGGATAGGTGACATGTTAGGCCAGAAAACAAGTCTTAATAAGTTTAGGGAGACTGAAATCATTCCAAGCATCTTTTCCAACCGTAACAGTATGAAACCAATCAATTACAGGGGGAAAAGTAGAAAAAACAAATACATGGAGGTGAAACAGCTTACTGCTAAACAACCAATGGGGGTCAGGGAAGAAACTAAAGAGGAAATCAAAAAATACTTCAAGAATAATGAAAATTGAAACACAACAATGCAAAATCTTTGAGATGCAGCAAAAGCAGTTCTAAGAGGGAAGGTTATGGTATTACAGGCCTACCTCAAGAACCAAGAAAAATCTAAAACAATCAAACCCTACACCTAAAGGAACTAGAAAAAGAACAATGAAGCTCAAAGTTAGTAGAAGGAAGGAAATAATAAAGATCAAAGCAGAAATAAGCAAAATGGAGACAAGTAATACAAAAGATCAATGAAACTAAGAGCTGGTTCTCTGAAAAAATATCAAAATCAATAAATCTTTACCTGGACTCTTCAAGAAAAAGACTCAAAATCAGAAATGAAAAGAAATTACAACAGACACAACAGAAATACAAACAGTTAAAAGATATTACTATGAAAAATTATATGCCAACAAATTGTATGACCTAGAAAAAAATGGATAAATTCCTAGAAACATGCAATCTCGCATGACTGAACCAGAAGAAACAGGAAATCTGAACAGATTACCAGTAGTGAAATTGAAACAGTAATTTTAAAAAACTCCCAACAAACAAAAGTCCAGGACTAGATGGCTTCACAGGAGAATACTGCCAAACATGTAAAGAATAGTTAATATCTATCCTTCTCAAACTATTCCAAAAACTGAAGAGTAAGGAAAGCCTCCAAATTCATTCCATGAGGCCAGCATCACCTCTATACCAAAACCAAACAAAAACACCACACACAAAAAATTACAGACCAATATCTCTGCTGAAAACAGATATAAAACTCAACAAAAATATTACCAAACCCAATTAAAAAATACATTAAAAGGATCATTGACCACAAAAAAGTGTGATTTATTCCAGAAATGCAAGGATGGTCCCCAATATCAGCAAACTAATCAATATGATATACCACATTAACAAAAGAATGGATAAAAACCATGTGATCATCTCAATAGATGCTGAAAAAACATTTGACAAAATTGAGCATCCATTCATGATTAAAAAGTCTCAACAAAATGGATATAGAGGAAATAAACCTCAACATAATAAAGGCTATATATGACATTTCACAGCTAACATACTCAGTAGTGAAAAGCTGAAAACTTTTCCTCCAAGATTAGGAGCAAGACAAGGATGCTCACTCTCATCACTTTTATTCAACATAGTACTGGAAGTCCTAGTCACTGCACTCAGCAAGAAAAAGAAATAAAAGGCATCCAAATTGGTATGAAGTAAAACTGTCACTATTTTTAGATGACATGATACTATACATAGAAAACCCTTAAGATTCTGCCAAAAAACTATTAGAATAAATGGATTCAGAAGAGTTGCAGGATACAAAATCAATACAGAAATCTGTTGCATTTCTATATATCAATAATGAACTAGTAGAGAAATCAAGAAAACAAGTCCACTTACAATTGTGCTCAAAAGAATAAAATACCTAGGAATAATCCTAACCAAGATCTGCACTCTGGAAACTGTAAGACACTGATGAAAGAAACTGAAGAAAACAAATGAACAGAAAGCCATTCCATGCTCATGGAAATGAAAAATTAATATTGTTAAAATGGCCATATTGCCCAAAGCAATCTATAGATTCAGTACATCCATATCACAATACCAATGACATTTTTTCACTGAACTAGAGCAAATAACCCTAAAAGTTTGTATGGAACCACAAAAAAAATAAATAAATAAATAACCCAGGCAATCCTAAGATGACCAAAGTGGGAGTATCACATTCCCTGATTTCAAACTATACTACAAAGCTACAGCAATCAAAACAGTATGGTACTGGCAGAAGATGAGACCCATAGATTAAAGGAACAGAATAGAGAGCCCCAAAGTAAACCCACATTTATATGGTCAATTAATCTGTGAGAAAGGAGGCAAGAATATACAATAAGGTAAAGTCAGTCTCTTCAATAAGTGGTGTTGGGAAAACTGGACAGCTACATGTGAAAGAACGAAACTGGACTGCTCTCTCACACTATACACAAAAATTAATTCAAAAGGGATTAAAGACCTAAATATAAGACCTGAAACCATAAAACTCCTAGAAGAAAACACAGTCAGTAAACTCCTTAACATCAGCATTAGTGATGTTTCTGGATATGTACCCCCAGACAAGGGAAACAGAAAAACAAAAATGAACAAGTGGGACTTCATCAAATTAAAAAGTTTCTGCACAGCAAAGGACACCATCAGAACAAAAAGTCAACCTACTGTATGGGAGAATATATTTGCAAATGATAAATCCAATAAGGGGCTAATACCAAAATACATAAAGAACTCATAGAGCTTAACATCAAAAAAAATCCAATTTAAAAATGACTAGAACACCTAAATA